CAGGGGCTGCGACACATTTATACAGCCGTGTTTCGCATATGACTATGAAAGGCGTAAGAGGAAGTAGTTCCTTCCAATTTAGACAATCCGAATGATGTAGTTTCTTTCCACTGTGTTCCTGTTAATGAAAAACTACAAATTTACCCCAAAGTACTAAAATATCGATATTTTAATATGAGAGTCGATTCTAGAACATAAATTACTGGTATCGGAAGAATTGATATTTCAATATCGATCCGCACATCCCTATCAGTTGAAGACTCAATGTGCTGAATGTCATGTGCAGGCTGTGTGCAGGCAGGAGTGGTGGTATGAAGGACCCAAAGTGCAGACACTCGGAGACAAAAGGTGAACTTAAATACAGCTTTAATGCTGAACTCAAACAAGTTACAAAAGTGCGAATCCAAAATAAACAAACAGACAGACAGACAGACAGACAGACAGACAGACAGACAGACAGACCACACAGCAAGATGAGGGTAGATCGCAACACAGACACAGAGAAACACAGGGCTTAAATACACAGAGGGAGCATCAGGGAATGAGTAACAGGAGGGAAACACAGCTGGGGCAACTCAGGCCTAACGAGACAAAGGAAGCAAAACCAGACACATTAACATGAGACACGGACTTCCAAAGTAAAACAGGAAACATAACACAGAGACACAGACTTGAATGGGGATACAGGAGACAGACAGGGGAGACAGCAACTATGGATCACAGACAGAAAACCACAACACTAAAACTCTACCAAACCCACACCAAAAACCTAAACTAAGAATAAACCTATAACCCATAAGGCAAAGCTAGAATATAATGAAATAAACAAAATCAAAGAACCAAAAACACAAAACACTGGGTCGATGACCCAGGCACCCTAACAGTGAATTGGCCTGCCTTTTGTCCATACTTTTCAATAATTAAAAGCATTTAGTACATTGTCAAATGAAAAACACAATGAAGAAGAGTCAGGACTGTGGAGCAGCTAGAATCCTACATCAGGCCAAAATGGGACAACATTCCTCTCCCAAAGGTTGAACAACAGGTTTCCTCAGTTCCTGCTTATTGATGGACTGTTGTAAAAAGGAAAAACAGTTGTTTAACTGTTTATTCATCATTATACTCACAATTTCTGGTTTAGGTTACAACGACAGCATAGTAACTTAACTGATCTTGACATGAGCCAAAGTGATGAACATCTGTGATTCACCAGTACCATATAATACATAACATATAACATAATGAGTTCCAGGTCAGCAAACATGCTTCTTCTGTTGGAATGGATCATGTGTAAAAGACTGCAAGGCAAAAATTAGCATTTTTGCAGGATGTAAAAATTTATTTTCCTTCTTATTTGTCCCCACCATTTTATGAGAAGCTCATCTGGGGCCAGAGCTAACAATAAGACCATCCAGCAAAAGAACATTCCCTTGGTATGCTTCTACTTTCAAATTATTATTAAAAAACATTTGGCGTTTACTGTCCACAGCCAGAGAAAAATAGAGCAATTCATTTAACTGTCAGTCTGCCTTTATCATTATTATTTGTCTCCTACCATCCCTGGCTCCATTCATCCTTCCCTAAACCCCAACATTCACTACACCCATTCACTCATCCATCAATCAACAGACTTATCAGCCATTACATCTTTTTTTTTAATCACTAGGACTTTTTTTCCTACCAATTCTTCTCAGTCATGTAAGCCCACATTTGCATGTTTGCTCATCCCTTTTTTCATTCCCCAAACCTTGAATCTGTTAAATTTGTCTCCATATTCTCTATCTATTCATCGATTCTTTGTCCGATCTATTCATGTCCTTCTACTCTAAGGACCCTCCAGGCCGTCAGGATCCATTGCTATTTTCAAAAAAGAGAACTGATTTCTTCTTTCCCGCTGCTTTGAGATTGACTGTGCAGTGAGTGAATGCTGCACAATCAAAGTGCATCATCTGGGCCACTTGTTCAGCAATCGAAAAGCTACACTTTCCATCATCAGCCTGATTCATAGGCAGGAAATGTCTTGTGGTTGCTTGCTCAGTGACTGTTTTTTTTTCTTCAAATGTGCATGTAAATGTGCATCTTTGCACATCTGTGTACATAGGAAAGTCTTGTTTTAGTCTCCTTTTACACATACTCTTTCCCTACTGTGACTAGTTATCACACGGCTTCATATGTGTTCACATACACACACTCAGACACAGACAGACACACTTAAAGGATATTACCCACAGGTGCAGAATCCCTTGCAGAGAGAAGCCATCATAAATCAGACATGATTGAGATGTAAAACCGATGTTCTCCTTCTTTTACAACCCCTAGTCATTCCAGCGCAATGTGGCCAAGTTTGTATGTTTTTCTAGGAGACTCGGGAGCTGTTAAAAAAGCCCTATGTGGAAAAAATCAGTAAAACTTTTTTTTTTTTATGTACTCAAAGATTTGCATGATTGTCAGTGTACTATGGAAGTTTTATGTCAGTTAAATGATTCACAGCTCATAAGAGGCATTGTAGCAGTTATTTAATTTTACACAGAAACCTAATGTAAAAATATGCTGGCTGTGAAATCATCATCTTGCAAAAGCTAGTCATGCTGTAGGCTTTTATGTATTATCTCAGGTGTCGAGAATTTAGCTTTTTATATGTTTTTTTTTTTAACTATTTTAATGGAAAATGTAGCTTAATATTAGCAGAATTTCATACTGGTCAAGTCATTCAGTGATCCGGTGTGGCTGGGGGCATTGTGGTCACTTAAACCAGGACAGAAAAGTTTCATCATGGAATGAAACTTGTACTAAGAACATGTTTGTATTGATTTGCTGTTATTCTCCTTTCTATGTTTAGTTATACCTATGAAATGCGAAAAGGGGCATAAATCAAGGTTAAAATCTTAAAGAAATAATGGTTTGTTTCTACTTTAACATGACATTACTGAAGCAAATGAAGTTCCAAAGATATGTCTAACTCATTTTACAATTGCACAAAATCATTTGTGAATTATTTTGCAACAATTATTTTGAAAAACCAAAACCACCAGTATATACTGAAAGATACTGACACTCTCAAATGTACTTATCTGTGAAGAAAGTCAGTATCTCAGAAAAGCAATCTGTGGAAGTAAAACTGTTACTATAGGAAAAATTTAAAAAATAAAAAAAAAAGACAGTGCATAGACTACTGTTCTATCAAATCACATAGTCATTTTACCTTACTTGGATAATTTTACATACCTTCACTTAAAAAGTGTTTATTGGAAATAAAAAAGTAAAGAAAAGTAGAAAGTAGGGCCAGTAAGCATCTTAACAGAACAAAATGGTAGTAAGGATTATTAATGTCTAGTATAGTGTGCCCAGAGGAAGCACAGGTCACTGGGTGTGAGGGGGAGAGGAAAAAAGATGGAAAAGAAGACTAAGAAAGAAGTGAAAGAGTCATAGTTTAGTGTTGTCAAGGGAGAGACAAGTCTTTGTAGGTTTTTCTGTAGGACAGGAAAACTATTAATCTGTCAGGGCAGATGAAGGGTGTGGGGGAGTGCCCGGAAAGATGGAAGGAGCAGAAAGAATGTAGGGACAAAAAGAAAAAGATATGGTCCCCACATAGAGAAGAGAGAAGGTAGGACAAGCTGCTGGATTGCAGGGCTGTGGGGAAGGGAAGGGGGTGGAGGAAAATTGATAAAATAGGTTCAGAGTGGGAATTATAGTAAGGAGAGAGAAAGAGAGGGAGAAATTAGAAAATATGTGTGATGAAGCAAGACCTCACTGACCAGAGTCAGGCTTGAACACCATCAATCTGCCCCAAAACGTCACCCCGAGGAGCAACAGATCACACAGAAGGACAAAAGATAGAGGAAATGGAAACAGATGGAAAGAAGGGGGAGCTGAGATACAAGAGGGATGTAGAGTGCAAAGGAGTGGGTGAAGGTGAGACAACAAGAGGGAAGTTAAGTTTAAAGATTTGTTTTTGTCATCAAGACTTTGCAAACTGATAAATTTGTAGTCACATAAGGTTGACTGAGAGTAGACCAAATAATGTGCCCTCCACACAGATAACAAGAGGAAATGATTACCCATGCACAACAAAATGTGAAAATGTGTAGTGCATGGGGGCAGATATATTAGGAAATTTCTTAGCAGTGCTACTAGAGAAGCCCTCCTATGTTTACACTTTCTTTTGTTGTAAGGCACACTTGTATCAAGATGCAGTGCTTTCCAATGGACAGATAGTGTACAAGATGAACTCAGTGCGAAGAAAAAAACTGTGAAAAGTAGAAGTGGAGTTGTTAAGCACACTAATTAGATTAGAGGATGCATGGATCCTCTGCACAAAATCATCAGCGCTGTCACTTGGTGTTCATTCTCTCTGTGGTCCCATACGGTAAAAAAATATATTTTAAAATACATTTTGAAATACATTTCAAAATATACAAAAAATGGCCAAAAAATATATGTGCTAAAATACATTTTAAAATATATTTATATATTTAAAATGTATTTTAGCACATATTTTTTGGCCATTTTTTGTATATTTTGAAATGTATTTCAAAATGTATTTTAAAATACATTTTGAAATATGTTTATGTATTTTGAAATGTTTTTTAGCACATATATTTTTTGGCCATTTTTTGTATATTTTGAAATATATTAATAAAATATATTTCAAAATACAATTTAAATTTATTTAAAATCATTCAAAAAAATATAAATTTAACCCTTCATATATTTCTAAGAAAACACATTCACATGTAACATCTGAAAGAAATCTTTATTTGATGTTTAAAACATACATATAGCATATCAATCAAGCAAGGAATATTCATTTTATAAATTTATTCTCATTACATACTCAAACATTCTAAAAGAAACACACACACATATACATATATGTGTGTGTGTGTGTGTGTGTATATATATATATATATACATATATACACGTATATATGTATACATATACATATATATACACATACACACACATATGTGTGTGTATGTGTATATGTGTGTGTGATTGTATGAACATAAGTCAGCATACTTAAAATGTAATTTCTTTTCCTTTTCCAGCAGTCTCAGTTCCCCCAGCTTTCACGGCAATCCTCAAAGCCCTTCTGGACACGCTGGGAAACCCCTTCCTTACCGCCACTGTAACAAACAAAAGTCACAGTTCTATTACTTTTATCAGAGTTAAAATAAAAATGTGATTTATGTTAGCTGGCTTCATTTAGCAAACAGATATTTCTGTTTATATAGATACAAATATTAATACAGATATATTTTACGCATAATTTTACCTCTTTTTTTTCCTAGATGGGAAGTCTATCCAGTTCACATTACAGTAATGCTAACACCCCTTTTGGTCGTCTCTCCTTACCTTCCAGCATTCATAAATCTGTTGACCTTCTTTGTCTGAGACCAACCACTACAATGCATTATCACCTATTTGTATTGGTAACTTACTTTACAACCTATTTTAATGGTTGCAAAGTAAGTTACTTGTGCTGTATGCAATTTTAGATACACAGAAAGTCTTCACTTACTATATATGGCTGTCATAGTGTCCTTATCAAGGGCAGTTCTTCACTCTGCGCCGATGTCCGTTTTGCTCTGTCCTCCTATAAAAAGCATGAACATTTGAGTGTTTGACTAGTTTTAGATTTCCAAAAATTTGATATTTGTACAACTAAACATTTGAACTACAATATATGCTATTGAGCGATACTTTTATGGGTAATTTTTGGTAAAGAAACTGGTGACAGAGTTGTAGGCTTTTTAAAGTACTATTAGCTAACCATTTGAACTGACTTTCAAAGCTGATTACCTTTTAAATTGCTGTGGATCAAAACCTCCAGTGGGAAGGCGGCCATTAGAAGAACACGCACCATTGAACCTGAAAATAACAAAAACAAACAAAAAACAGAACAATATATAAGAGTCCGGTAGGGTAATAAATCTCTTCTGAAGCAATATAGTTCATTTTGGGTGAAAAACAAAACATTCCTCTAAAATATATATACTGACATCAGCAATCAACATCATGATTGTAATTATTTCCTTTTTAGTACATCTACTGCTGTTTGCATGTGTCAAGCACTACGACTGTATCTATGCATATAAATTCACCATATATATCCAGCAAAAATGTTTTGTTATAGTCAAAAGGAAAACAAACAAAGGCATTCAATCAGAGGTGAGAAATTAATTGGGAATATGAATTATAGGTGAACTATTCTTTACCTACTAGCAATCAAGCTTCTTTAACCAAGAAGCTTGAAATATTTGAATGTAAAATAAAATAAACTAGAAAAATTTGCATTTCCTGCGAAAATGCAGTGTGGATGCTTTAAAGCTGAAGCTGTATGCAAAAACTAGCTGAAAAGTTGCAGAAATTGCAAAAACTTTGCAGAAGCAAAGGAACTTTGCTAAAATGGAATAACTTAGCAGAACTGCAACATCTTAGAGGAAACATAATACTTGGCAGAAATACAATAGCATAGCAGAACTTAGCAGAAATATTGTAACTTACCAGAAACATGATAACTTCTCAAAAATACAAGAATTTAGGAAAAATAGTATAAGATAACAGAAAGAATATATTTAGCCAAAAATACTTAAACATTACGGAAACACTATGATTTAGAAAAATAGTACAACATAGCAGAAATACTGTGATTTACCAGAGACACTGTGATGAACTATGAATATTGTCATTTTAAATTAATACTATGGTTTAGCACAAATATTATCATTTGACAGAAATACTATCATTTGGCAGAAATACTGTGTTTCAGCACAAATACTCTGGTTTAGCACAAAGGAGATTAAGGAGATATGACAATTCGAAAATGCCTCTCATTACAGAAATCAAGCGGTGATTTTGAACAAACTCTCCATTGACTTTCTATGGAGAGTTTTCCGACTTTCTGTTGGTCTGAGGAGATTTGCCAAAATTCTATAAATTCCACAACAATGATAGTGACATTTTCAGAAAGCCAGCAAAAATACCTACGTTTTGATGTATAATTTGTGGAAGTTGAGTGAAATTTGAGCAAGTAGCAAGAAGTTGTTCGGACATGAAGAGAAGACTGCGAAACCTTCAGTGGCAACAATAACAACGCATGTATTTTGTGAGAAATCACAATTTTGCAACTCAAAACTTTAAGAAGCATAAAAGTAAAACGGTAAAAGATTTGAAAAAGCTGATTTATACCTGAATAGCCCAATAATTTGAGAACATTTTAAAGTTTGAATGGTTGTTCTACGTGAAAATATGAGGAAGTAGTTAAGTTTCAAAAACAAGCTAATTTTAGCAGAATTGCAAAGTTTCCCATTCATTTCAAATTAAAGGAAAAAAGCTTAATATTTTAAAAAGTATAATAGTGAAAAATACCAAAAGACATAGCCGTTATTAGCAGAAATAGCAGAATAGTTTAAAATTTGAACGGTGAAAATCGGCTGAAAATTGTGGAAGTAGATCCACGGCGAAAAATGTACGGAAACACCAAGAAGGAACTCAATAGTGTGGATGCTTAAAGCATCCACACAATAAATAAATAATAATAAAAATAACATGATGTAATTAAAATGCACAACTTACATTAAGGAAATCTGCATTTGTATCCACAGGCTAAAAGTAAAACAGTAAATGTGTTAGTGATAGTACAGGTATTTGTAAAAAAAAAAAAAAAAAAAAAAAGAGGCAGTAACTGTGACGCTTCTAGTGGGATGCTAAATGCAGAGATTTATATTTACAGTATAATACTGCATGTACGGGTAACTGTGTTGTGAACTGTAACTGAATATTAGAGAATCTCAGAGAAATTAAATGTATTTATTTTTTGAATTTATCAATCATAAAACCGTCTGTTTTGAAGGCCTGTTACGATAGCGACTTTTTGTTGGTCGGTATATTGCCCCATAAACAATTGCGACAAGTTATGTCATTGTCATTTTAAGACCATTTTATGTCTTTGAATGTATAATCATAATATAACACCATAATAATGCAAGATCTACACACTTTCAATTGACAAACCAACATCTAATTCTTAAAGTATTTAGATCATTGAAATTAGGAATCAAAATATTAGATACCTTAAAAACTTGAATAAATAGTAAATTTTCTAACAAATAGAAAACAATGTTATTTAATGTTATTGTTTTGTTATCATTATATTTTATTTTTGTAAATATAATGGCGGATAAATTACATCATCAACAATTATTGAGGTCATGTACATGTATTGTGTGTTAAGTCGATATATCGATTATTGTGATAGGCCTACTGTTTTGGTATCATAACGAGCTTGTCAAACATGCATGACCACTAAACAATGTCTAAGCAGTAGTATTGGTCTGAATGACAACAAACATAACTAGTGTTTTGGAAAATCTGTTAGAAAACAGTTATTTCAATAATTATGATTAGCATGTGACACAGACACCGCATAAAAAACTACAACAACAAATACTTACTTTAGGAGGATGGGGGAGGGCAGCATGAGGTTGAGACTTTGACATCTGTAAAAAACAAATTCATGTATTACAAACAAGTCACTTAAAAATACATTAATGTGGCAGACTGTTCCCTGTTCAGATGCAGTGTATAAGTACAATCAGGGCTGTCACAACAATGGGGTGGGGCCAAGTGGCTGCAACCCTAGGTACAATGTGCAGGTATATATAATTACATATAATATATGTGAATAAAGCAAGAATCTGTTTAGGTTAGTCACTGTGCTGACTGATGCTTGCTAGGTTTATATGATTGCAAACTGCACAAAAACAACAACAGCAACAACATTAATGACAATGACAAACAAAATTACTTACATTTATGTAAATCTCACATTAGGAAGATCTGCATTCGATTTCATGGGCTGAAATAAATAGGCAGAAACATTACTGCTAAAAAAATAAAAAACAAAAACTCTAAAAAGCCTAAAAATGACTTAAAAAGCAAGGAAATGTGGAACATTGTAATTAGCGAACATTAATAAAGCATAACTGTTCTTTGTTTCTAACCTTGGTAAGTACTCTGTAGCCAGAAGGAGAGGTAGGATTTCTGTGAAAGCCAAATTAAATGTGAATAGGCTTTGATAGTTATTGAGAAGGCAGAATAATAAGAAAAGGCAAAAGTACGTCACAATATAATTAATTAAGTTACATATTTTGATTACCAAATTATGGAAGCGTGGAGCTGCCACCCAGGCAAAAGAAAAATAGAGCTGTATCACGTTATGACGTGAAATGTTTATTGTTCTAACATTATGCTTTTCATGTTTGTATAATATAATATCACGTTATTATAATATACATAATTGTCACGTTCGCACAATATTGTATGGACGTGATAATTATTTACATTTTTCGTACAATGTTGTTCAAACATGTTGTTCAAACATGATAGTATATTGTTAGAACGATAAACTTTTCACGTTATAACGTGATATACTTATATTTCTCTTTTGCCTGGGTGGCAGCTCTACGCTTCCGTTCCAAATACACGAGAATAAAGTAATATTATATGGGAAAAGGCACCTGCTAGCTTGATGATGGAGGCTTCTTAGACTGGCCACCCGCCTTGGCTTCTTGTCGCCACTCCACGAAATAAAGGTCCGTTTCCTCCATGCCGGCTAATTATTCATCCTCATTAAAATCTCGTATATGTTCAGTTGGCAGAATTGAGAATTTTACATCTTCCAACCACTTAATTAACGCGAACATAATCGGCTTGTTTCTTCCCGTCTCCTGTATCCGGCCGTTCCTCTCGCTGTCAGATTTCGCGCCTCAGGGACGTCGTTATTTTTCAAAAAAAAAAAAAAGAAAGAAAGAAAGAAACAGTAACAACTACTAAAGAGAGTTTTTGCACGTTCATTGCACATTTGTGGGAATGTTTAAATATTTAATTTTTATTAATTACTTTTCATTAGATCTTTATTTTTTAAACCACCGTGGCAATGCGCATGCGCATACACTCCTGCACGCAAAGGGCTTTGGAGTTGACGTAATGTCGCAATGCATTGTGGGAGCGCAGCACCATCTTGGCAGGTCACGAATCAAAACAAGATTGCTACGAACCATTCTGAAACGTAGCTCAAAAGAAAATGACGGTATAGAGACAGATTCTGTCCAGATGCAAAGAGACGGTACTTGATTGTTGAAATGTGGACCCGTATGAAATATAGCCGTGGAGTAGAAACCCTGAAGACCAAACCGCTATTGACTTAGCATGATCTACTCTCATACCTTGTCTGTGGAGTCAGAGCATACACGGCGCACCAATTTCGCAATTATAAATCTCTGGAGGCGCACATCCAATTCACCAAGGACTGGGTACAAGATTTGGCTATTTTTAAGCCTCCACGTTGTGAGTACGCCGTCATTCAAGCAAAGGTAAGTCAGCTTGAGTACTGCGAGTAAAATGCGTTTGATTCCCCCAGCATTCAAATTAGTGCTAGCAAAAATTCATTCGTGAGGGGGAAATTACAGTGAGAACATGTAGAGGCTCTGTTAGAGGGATAACATAGTGAGTTCAGTGCATTGATGTGACATTGTCCTGAAGGATTTAGTTATTCTTTATGGTTAAAGAAATTGCCCTAATTAATTCATATTTATTATAAATAATCCTAATTACACATCTTGCTTCCTTGTTTGTGTCCTGTGTCACTAAAAATACATTCTGTTTTAGTTTTATACATTGATTAATGACCTGCAGAATCTGCTTGTCATATTAGGTGTCCATAGTTGTCACTTAAAGTTGAACTTTATGTTTTCTCCCTCTTGAAAGTGATTACATCCTTGCATTACATACTTTAGGTTCATTTTTTGCTGATAGGTTTCTAAAAAGAAACATGCAGATTTAGAATATAACATGCAGCGTTCTATAGATGGATACATAAAAACACTTTATTTGTTACATTTATGATAAATGGATTTGAAAGTAAATAAAACACATTTGTGTCGGACTTGGCTTATTAAAGTTCTTGTCTTTAAATGAACTTTGTCTGTGTGTGTTTTAGGTCCTGCACTCTTAAAGACTGAATTGCAGCATTGCAGCCACAGGTCATTGTGAGCATCACAGGGAAGGTTGAAGCCGCCCACTGCAGCTGTATGGCTAGAGTCGTGGAGACTTGCAGCCATGTCACTGCTCTTCTGTTTAATGTAGAAGCAACAGTGAGGATCTGTGGCACAAGGACTGTTACAGATGAACCTGCATACTGGGTTTTGCTGGGTAATATGACCAAGATACAGCCAGAGGTTGGCCATAAGATAGACTTCTCCTCTTCAGCTGCCCAAAAAAAAGGTTCTTGATCAAAACATAAACAGACCATTCGTTGTGACAGGTAAAAGAAGCCATCCTCAAAAAAGAAAAGTTCCACCTGCTACTGTGGAGGATTTGGATCAACTGATGGGACAATATTTTTCCAAGCATAGTTCTGTTCTGAATAACCCATAATGTTTTAATTTAGGGGGCCATGTAAATACTTTGCATTTACTGAATATGTACTTACTAAATACCACTGTTCAAAAGTTGAATAAAGAAACAAAGAAATGTTTGCCTATTTTTAATTAAAAGCACTTTGTCGAACATCACATCAGTTACAATGTAGAAAAAATGTTATGTATAGTTTACAAATGACAAAATGTTCACATAAAATCATGACAGCATTTGTATAATATCACCCACTACTAGCATTCTGTAATTTACTGTCTCTTTTGAAAACTTATCACTACATAAACAGCACAAGACTTAAAAGTATTTAACAAGAGCATTTTTCCCTGGTTTTACTACCACACTGGGGCACATGTTCACCAAAACGCAGCAAACCTTTGCCATCTTATCCAGGAAGGTCACCTTTTTACCCTCACATGGAAGAAGTAATCTGATTGGCATGGTGGTATGTAGCATGTAGTTTGAAGCAGGGATTTCGTAGTGCCCCATGTGTAGTGTTGGAACCCAGTCAGGATTTGTTTCATTCATTTCATAGGCTGGTTTGTTGCAATAATGCCAAATAATTAGCAACTCTATAAATAGAAGGTAGTTCTGCATGTTTGTTCTAAGTTTGTGCTATTGAAAATAAAATTAACAGGCTATAAATAATAATATGAACTTATTTAGAACTTACCTGAATGAAAATACTGGAGCACACCAACAGATATCTGTGGCTGGTAGAGAACTGAATATCAGCTCGTCTCGCAGCTGCTATCCAGGCTAGACGCCTTCTTTTGGTAACATCCAACACATAAGCTCCCTCATGATGTTTCCAGGTGAGGAAACAATGAAAAGAGAGCCTGTTTTCAAGCTTATTCCTTTGTCGGTAGTGCAATCTAACATTACAACCGACCACACAGCAAGCATTTGTTTGGCCTGCTAATATGGCGCCTTGACCAAAAATCCTGGCTACGCCCCATCCCGTAAGATCACGCTCCAGAGCCCTATTAACGTACGGATCTAGAAAGAAGACGCTGCATTTTTAACTCTGAGGGAGATGGAGAATGAGCCTATTTCCAAAACAGTGGAGTGTGTTCCTTTAAGTACTAAATTGTATATATTGTCAAAAACTAAAGTGTACATAGCAGTTGTTGTATCTTGTTTACTGTATCACTGACAGATAATTTCAAAGTCAATGAACGCTACATTATAGTGAGATATTGTGTAATGTGAAATACTGTAAGCAAATGAATAAACAACCTAATTCGTGATAGACCTTTGACTCTGTTTTGTTTGAATCCAACTGTTTTTTGCAGATGTGCATAAAACATGTTACTTTTAGTATTGTTATCATTATCATCATTATTGCACTAAATATATCTTAAATAAAGGATACTTTGATATACATTCTACTGTAAGGTTGGAAATGTATTTTCTTCACCCTAAAATATGTTTTGAAATGTATTTTGGTTTGAAAGAAATATATTTTCAATTTCAAAAATATATTTTTTTGGAGCATCACAAATACAAAATATATTTACCATATATTTGAAATATATTTTGGCCAGGAAAAATGTATTTTTTTACCGTATGGGATAGAGTATCACTTCCTGTCCCTGTTACAACACAGTGTTTTTGTGTAGCTTATCTGCATAGGAATTTAATTAAAAACTTTTAGATAACTTGTAATTTCACTGGGGGTAATCTTCACATGCTTCATCCGAAGCACAATCTCTGTGTATTCACTCGCTAATTTATAGTCTCAGTACTCACTCACTGGTTTCGCTAGCTTATATTAGCTAGCCGACTCGCTAGCAGCATGACCTCTTTATCTGTCCCTGCTGCACATTTTTTCTCTTTGTGTCAGATTGTCACGGTCTGCAGAGACAGGCCGTGCGGTGGTGTGTGTAATGGACCCAGGTGTGTACACAAGTGAGTAGACGGCAGTGAACTTAACAGAAAGCGAGCCTTTATTATGGCTGGAGACAAGGTGTACAAACAAAGTAGGGATAGCGTGACTAGACTATAGCTAAACTGGGAAAACTAATACTGTGACAAACTAAGAAAACTCAGAGACTAAGATGATCACTGAAAAGACTGACCATGAAAACATGGAGGTGAGAACACAGACGACGCGACACAGACTACATGAAACACAGAGACTAAATACACATGAGGGATGATCAGGGGAAGTGGCCACACATGGGAGCACAGCTGACACACATGAACCTAACGACAGGACAGGAGAGGTGAAACTAAATACACTGACATTGAATACAGACTTTCAAAGTAAAACAGGAAACATGGAGATTAGACATGACATGAACTAAACATAACCATGCAGACATGACTCATGACAGGTAGACGCACGAACCAGGGAGACGGAGTACAGGGGAAGCGACAGCATGAACTTGACAACACAAGACACACAGACATAAACACATGAAGGGCAAGGGAGGCTTAATACAAGGGTGATATAATTACAAATGAGCTGGAATAACTTAATGAACCTAAACAAACAATAACATCAAAATAGACTAAACACAAAGCACTGGGTCGCACGACCCAGGACCATGACACAGATGTTTAGTTACCTCTCAGCCTCCTTTAGCAGTAATGATACTTGTAGTAAATGTAGCCTATTTGCGGCTCTGGAGGCCAGATCACTGAATTGGAGACTCAGCTTTGCACCCTTGAAAAACCGGAGGTCACGTCAACCGGAGGTCACTAAAATCAATATTGAATAGGTGTGTAATAGTGTGTTGCCAAAACAATGTTGGTGTCACGGTTGTTATAGAGTGGACGCAGCCGCCCGTGTTGCAATATAAAGCCCAGGAAAGACACAGTCGGAACATGGAACTCACATTTTTCAGCCTTCACAAACAGGCGATTCTCCAATAGGCGCTGCAGTACGAGCCTCACATGCTCCACATATTCCGCCGGGCTCCGGGAAAACACAAGGATGTCGTCTAGGTAGACAAAGACACAGTGGTTAATGAGATCACCCAGCACATCATTAATCATAGCCTGGAAAACAGCAGGGGCATTGGTGAGCCCAAAAGGCATCACCAGTTATTCGAAATGCCCAAGGTCAGTATTGAACGCTGTCTTCCATACATCCCCTTCACGAATTCGCACCAGGTGGTAAGCATTGCCGAGGTCCAATTTGGAAAAAATTGTGGCGCCCTGGAGGAGCTCAAAGGTGGACGCCAGCAAGGGCAAGGGGTATTTGTTCTTAATCGTGATTTTATTCAAACCCCGGAAATCAATAAACGGCTGGAGCGTCTTGTCTTTCTTTGCCACAAAGAAAAACCCGCGCCCAAAGGTGAAGTGGAGGGTCGAATGATGCTGGCTGGCAAGGAGTCATTAATGTTCCATCGACTCCCGCTCGGGCTTGGAGATGTTATAAAGCCGACTGGTGGGCAAGGGAGCGCTGGGAATCAAATCAAAGCCACAGTCATACGGGCGATGGGTCGGAAGCGAGGAGGCTTTGTCTTTGCTAAAAACCTGGGCCAGGTCATGATACTCAGGCGGAACACCAGACAAATGAGGAGGTGCAACAGGCCTGAGACCGTCGCACCCAGAGTAGCGGAGCGTAAGCACAAAGCGTGACACTGACTGCTCCACCCTGAAATACGGCCCTTGGCCCAGTCGATCTGTGGATTACGTTGTGGCAGCCAGGGATAGCCCAACACAAGGGGAGCATCAGGAGATTTAAAAAGAAATAAACTGAGCTGCTCCGAGTGATTGCCAGAGAGGGTGAGTGTGATGGTTCGAGTGCAGTGAGTGACCGTAATCAGTGGGCTGCCGTCAAGAGCCGAAACCTGGAGAGGTTCGGGGAGAGGAACAACGGGTACGGCTAATTTGAGAAGGGTCTGGCTGCAGCCACTGTGGAGCTCCACAGTAACCGGATACACGTGACCTCCACACTAACCGGAAACACGTGACCTCCACAGTAACCGGAAACACGTGACCTCCACAGTAACCGGAAACACGTGACCTCCACAGTAGCCGTAAACACACATGGATACCGTGGAAGTCTTGCAAGTTGATCGCAAAGGTTGGGACAGAGTCTTTCTTAAATAAATTTGCCGTTAGTGATTTCATAATTCTAGGAATCGTCTAGTTTTCTTACAATGATCATGTTGCCACTTTTTTTTGCGTTACAACAACATTCCTTCTTATTTTAATGTTTTTTCATCGTGCTCCATGGCAGAGAAACACACAGATCAATATCTCATTGTTGGCACTGGGTCAAGCTGTCGTAGGTAAGTACATGCATTGTCTCATGACCAGAACGCTACCATTGTTTACATGTTAGATTTGTTCCTATCTGTGTGTGTATATTCTTTTCTTTGTGTACCTAGCCCCACAGGTGTGCAATAAACCCAGAGAAATCACAGAAACGGTGTTGAACCCAGCACCTTCAATGTCTGGTGACACTGGTAAAATTTCTTAATTTGAATAGTGATTGTCATATATAGGTGAAATAATAATCTTGCATTCATTATCTTGTTGTAGTTGATGGCTCATAAACGAATTTGTTACATGCTGTTTCAAATGAATTTCCTTCTATAAATAGTGCTTATTTTTCTTGCATTTGTATGCATTTAATATACATTCTATGTAGTGTTTTGTCTGAAACCTGTTAAAATCCCTATAGAACCTCAGAAAAGAGTTGACAACAAGAAAGCCAATAGAAGGTCAACAGATGCAACTTTTCCTGACCTGTGTGGATCACCGTGCGAAGCTCTGACAAAGCCTGAGAACATTTTGGCCAGCCGTTCATCATGGTGTTTTGTACCGCACCCTGGCCAACAACAGCTTGTACGTTAAAGTTTTCAGATGTCGCAAAGTGCAACTTTTAGTGCTTATCTGATTTTGTCATCCACAGTCTATGACACCTATGTGTTTTTTTTAGCTCAACTATGTTCTGGACATCAGCAGACCCAAAGATGAGCTGATTGTTGAAACGTCTTCTGGATGCCTCACACGGGCAGATTTTTGGACACTGGGTTTAAACAAACAAATGGAATTGACTGTAAGTATTTTTTTTCCTATGAATATGAAATAATAAAGTGTACATTCATTTTTTTCATGATTTTTTCTGTTTTAGATTGGAAATGGCTGTTTTGAGCTTATCACCAAAATTGTTCAGTCAAAGGTACTGTATGTTGTATATGATGATTGTCAAGCTTTAATTTAAAGAGTTGTTGTTTTAAATGTTGTTGTTTTTTACATTCTAGGGGATAAGCATTTACACAGAAAATCTGTATGTCACCCGGACTTGGCTTGCACCCTATGGCTGTGATCCATTGCACTCCTTTCCTGTAAGTGTACCGTCCTTTAAAGAAACAAGCAAGTAATCAAAATGATTTTTTTTATAACTCTGGTGCGAGTTCATATACAGGATACTTAAAAATACAATTCTGTTTCAGACTGATGCTCAGAGGATGCACATCATAGTTCTCCCTCTCTGGACACCTAGTCATTTCCAGTTGTGTGTAAGTCTTGTTTTTTGACACATACAAACTATTAGAATTTTGCTATGTGTCTGAGATGTATTCAAGCTTTTATGACGCAGTTTCAAAAGTCTTTGATTGTGATCGCTTGCAATGACATTGTTTGCAGGTTTGAAGTCATGGCTAACTGTCTTTTAGGTACTGAAGCCACCTAAAAGAGAAATCCTCTTTCTTGACCCATTATACACCAAGGCAGGATTTGGTGGCCAACAATATGTTTCACTTTTGAGGTCACATTTTTATAAGCATTTTTGGTTTGTTCCGGAGTTTTCAGGAACCTGTTCAGTGTTCCAGGTTAAGTGCATCCTAGATCATGTTCTGCTGATCTTGAGTGTTCACACATACAGTACACTCACATGGTTTTTCTATAAACTATATCAGCAAGTTTCTGTGTGGAGTTTGCATGTTCTCCCCGTGTTTGCGTGGGTTCCCTCTGGGTACTCCGGCTTCCTCCCACCGTCCAAAGACATGCAGCTTGTGGGGATAGGTTAATTGGATAATCCAAATTCCTACTAGGTGTAACTGTGTGAATGAATGTGAGTGCGAATGGTTATCTGTCCCGGTGTGTTGGCCCTGCGACAGACTGGCGACCTGTCCAGTCTGTCGCCCTATGACAGCTGGGATAGGCTCATCTTCACATTATGATCATAAAAATTAGTTTATAAAATATGCCAACCTTAACTTAAAGCTGTAAATGCTTTATTTTGACCAACTGTGAGCAAGTGACTGTACTTTTTCATTTTGTTATGCTGTTTTGTTGAGGTCGTGTTCCTAAGGCCTGTAGTTACAGTTGGTGCTATTAGCAATAAACATTTCACACCCATCATGATGACATCTGTTAACTTGTGAATGTAACTGTCTTGAAAAAAAAAAAAGGAATCTTGCAGTGAAGATCATTCCCGGGCAGTGGTCAGAAAAAAAGAGCTTTGACTTGAAGGTATGTGCTAGTTTAAGTGTATGGTGAATAATATGAATTACACTAGTCCTCTTTTAAGGGATTTTATTAACGAGCCTTTATTTTCAATGTAATACAGGGTTTTCCAAGCCAAGACTATGGAGTTGACTGTGGGATCTTCATGCTGATGGTAATTTTTCTCTTCTCTTCTTGAGATTCATACAGAAGCTAATTTAAGCTTCTAAAAAAATGACATTTTTATTTTTTCTTCCAAATAGTCTGCTCTGTACGTGGCACTGGATGCTTCATTTGACTATACTATAGTAAGTATTCTATTTACTTTCACAGCAATGGAGTCTTGAATCTTTTGAAAGTTGTTAAACATGTTTCATATTAATATTTTACAGTCAGACATGCCCTACTTGCGTAAATGGTGGTTCTTGCTGTTGATGGAGAACTTTGATCTCAGGAGGTACTTATATTTTGACTTCTGTTCTATGTTGTGTCAAAGTTTACACACCTTAACAATATCAACATTTTCTGTTAAGCTCTGGCAAGCTATTTGCACACTGGAGAGAGGAAGCCAAAGCAGTGCTTGAAGGACAACACGTGCCCATTTTCAGACTGAAAAAACGCAAGTTCCAGGAAGTCAGTCAGGTCAGTATTCACTTTAAACAGTAGTGTAATTACATGTTTAGTGACATTTGAATAACTGTTAAAAAACTGTTCTGCAACAGAGAAATAACTATGTTTATATCCCCATTTGCCTGACACAGGAGCCAGCAGTTGTTGAAGATCTGCGTCCTGCTGTGCAGTGGGTTGTCCAAAATAAGGCACACGTAACAATGCCAAAATATCTGTCCTTAAATCAAGGGGACCAGCAGAGGGTCTTAAGAGACATGTCAGAGGAAGAAGACACTGGAGCAAGGGACTTGTTCCTCTTTGTTTTTCAGTTTGCAGAGGACATGGAGCTCTTTTTGAAAGCATGTGCTGATGAGCAGGGACTAAGGGTCAGTGCTATGTTTGACATGTAATGGACAAATGAAGGCACTGGCTGTTTGTTTGTTTGTTTGATATGTCGTTGTTGTTGTTTTTTGTTTTGTTTTTTGCATAGTACAAAATTCCAATTAAACTTATTTCAAAATGTTGTTCACTTGATTCTATGTCCATACTTATAATAAAGGATTACAGTGTAACAGCATTAAATGTAAATGTAACAGCATTTTTTTTTTACTTGTAATTTCAAAATAAAAAGCTTATTGTTGATATTAACAGTAAAGAATTGTAATCAATAATATTTTTATACATTTTAAACATTAACACTCTGGGCTCTATCCTGGCCATCTGTGGACACTTCACTTATTCTTTTTTTTGACTACTGCACTGCAGTGGACCAAAAGAATGACACGGGTTTGATCTTAAGGATCTAATAGTTGTGTGTGTTGTGCATGACATTGCCACACAAATATGTATTTGCAAGATAGAGTAGAATAAATTATGACGCATGAAATATTACATAGGCTGCAGTGAATTTCTGTTGATACAGACTATTGAGCTTTGAGTTTCCCAGTCAAACTTAGCTTTGAAGCACATGCTAAAAACACTTTTACTCTTGTACATTTCATAACAAGACATCATAGCCAAAATATTAACAAAATATATATTATTAAAAAATTCAAAGCTGCAGCACATACAGCAACAAACACCGTTAGTAAATGTGTCCTGGTGTTTAGTGCTGCTGCTGTAAGTAAGCCTAACAGCTTCCAGATCACTTATTTTTCTGGAAAGATGGTAGGAAGGGCATCACTGCTCATTTCTACAGTCTCCCAGATCTTGAAATACAATCGCTTTGTACCATGAAACCACTTCGCAGTACTAGGAGTCCACTAAAACATATAAAGAGAGTGATCCTGGAAGAAATGAGGCACACACTAGTGACCTCAACAATTGCAAGACACCCTTTTCCCCGATGCTCAGATGGGGAAAAAAAAGGAAGTTTCATGAAAACATTAGAATCAGAATCAGAAATCATTCTGATTCTGATTCTAAGAAATATACATTTTATAGCATTTTGTGAACATACACAAAAAGTGGCCATTTTTGGCAACAAACAAGCTGAGAGAGAGTTTTATATTTTTTGCTCTCCTTGAACAAAAATAATAGTGCATAATAATCAATGTTGATGTTAATCAATTAGATGTCCCACTACTATTAATAATACAGCAGTCGCTCGTTTATCGCTGGTGTTACGTTCTAAAAATAACCCGCGGTAGGTGAAATCCATGAAGTAGCCAACTTAATTTTTTTTACAATTATTATAGATGCTAAGACTGTAAAACCCCTCACTACATGCTTTATACACTTTTCTCAGACAGGCATGAACATTTTCACACTTTTCTCTTTTGTTTAAACACTCGAGTTCAAACCTTCGTAGAAAACGTAAGTCCAGTATTATGGAATGAAACGAAAAGGTGCATTTGAGGGTGCAAAACGTTTCGTCGGCATTGTTGTGTTTGTTTGGGAGAAAACTTACAAACATACAGTACAGCACTTCAGAATTACACTGCTAGCGATCGAAGATTTATGTAAATTCGACAAGCTAAACGCATTCTGTACTGTACAGCAGGAGTCCCCAACCTTTTTTGCACCACAGACCACTTTAATGTCAGACAATATTTTCAGGGAATGACCTTTAAGGTGTCGCGGATAAATACAACAAAAGAATAAAAAAAAGAAACTGTGGTATTTTGTAAATATAATAATAAACGTGACTTGAGCTGTGCGCCAACAACAATGACAGCGACATCCTCCTCTCTGCTTCTTAATGCTCTCTGGTCGCTATGGTAACGCGTAAATAGTTCTTTCAAAATAAGACACACAACTACAACCATACATTTCACACCGGAGGATCAACTGTCGCGGAACGGTACCAAAGGACTCACGGACCGGTACCGGTCCGTGGGCCTATTAGGGACCACTCCTGTACAGGAGACACTGGACTAGATTGATTGACAATGGTCTACAGCAATCAGAACGCACAACACAATGTACTGTAAAAAAAAAAAAAAAATCAGCGAAACAGCAAGTGTCGCGGAAGGTGCGCCGCGCCGCGAGGGACCACTGTACACTTTTGGCCACGAACAATTTAGGGGATGGTGAATTTTTTTGAACAAACCCAGAGTGTTAAAAACCCCCACTTAAAACCATTTTTATTTCTCAGCAGCATCAATAGTAACAAAAAAACAATTTAGTTTTCGATTTAACTGAAGTTACGTGTTTCCGGTTACTGTGGAGGTCACGTGTTTCCGGTTAGTGTGGAGGTCACGTGTATCCGGTTAGTGTGGAGCTCCACAGTGGCTGCAGCCAGGTGCTCTTGGCTAATTTATGAGCTAGCGATTCATCCAACAAACTCTGCTCAGCTCCAGAGTCAATTAGCGCGCTACACGGGTGAGTTAGGGAATGAAAAATCAGCTTGGCCGGACAACTGAGATGGGGAACAGAGTTAGCTGTAGTACCCGCCAGTATTCCCACAGCTACTGGCGGGCGGATTCTTTTACTCGCTTCGCTATCGGCCCAGTGTCCCCTTCTTCCACACACGAAGCACTCTGTCTTCTCCTCCGATGGGAAGCACCGAACCGAGCCCGGCCCAGCTGCATCGGCTGTTCCTCATCCTCCGCTGGGTCTTCTTCTTCCTCTCTCCATTGAGAAGGAAGCAATCTGGTAGGCATATTGGCACCACCTGCCGGTCGTCGTCCTTCTCCTGCCTGTCTCCCAAACTCTTTCATATGATTATCTAGTTGAATGCACATATTAATTAAAGCGCTAAGAGACTTAGGTAGCTCTTTTGTAGCTAACTTACGCTTGATTTCTTCGTTTAGGCAGTTCAGGAAGGCTCCCCGGAGTGCGTTTTCTACCCAGCCCGTCTCCTCAGCCAGGATCCAAAAGTCAATGAAGAAATCCGCGACACTCTTACATCCCTGCTTCAGGGTAAACAAACGATTAGCTGCGCCATTAGCTGCGCCATCTGCATCTGTTCCTTTATCAAACACATCGGAACTTGGTCAGAAAATCTTGGTAGGAGATATTCGGTTGAACATTTAAAACGGCTTGTGCCCATTGCAGCACTCGGCCAGTCATTAATTCCACCATAAGCGTTATCTTCGCGCAATCTGAGCCGTAAGCCTGTGTCTGTTGTCTGAAAATTAATGAACACTGCATCAGAAAGCCTCGACTCTTTGTTATATCTCCATCAAACATCTCCGGAACCGGTAATGTATGTTCTCGCCTAGGTGGAGGTGGTGGAGGTGAAGGAGGTAGTGGGCAAGCTGCAGCCACACTTACTGACGGAGTGGGTTGTGGATTCTTAGCTGAGGTGCCAGGAGCAGTGAGTAACATACCTTGAATGTTTGCAAGCACCTGTCGCATCGCCGTTTGTTCCGTCATAATGTGTTTCATCATGCTCTCATGGTGGTCCAAAACTTTGCCCTGAACAGAGAGCTCTCGCTGAACTGGGTTTGAGTCCGCTGAGTCCATGGCTGGCTGGAGTATTCTGTCATGGTTGTTAAAGAGTGGACTCAGCCGCGGAGCTCAGAAATGAAGACAGTGCGTTTATTTACAGTGCAGCAAGGTGACAACAGTTCAAATGTGCAACAATGGTGATAGTGCGTCCTTCCTTCTGTGTAAGCCCGTGCGTGGTAGTGAATGCCCGTCTCTCCTCCAAGTGCTTCCTTTGTGTCTGTGAATCCTCCGTCAATCCCTGGGTGAACACACACACAACAAGATGAGTACGTAGATCAGACAATACTTCAATAACGCTAGCGGTTCGAAAACACTACCAGGCTTAGTGCAATACTCCAGCGCTGTCTGTCGCTCAGCCACACCATTAAGTAGCCCTGCCGAAGATGGTAGTTGATTGGCAGCAGCTGGTGGATTGATTGCAGGTGCGGTAGCTCCGGGTGACAGCACTTCCGGGTCGGAGATAGCCTGTTGCTAAGTTACCTCCTAACACATGACAGCGGAGCCGGAAGGGAAGACAGGGCGATAGGAGAGACACACATACACACGCACACAAATATACACACTGGCAGGTCGACCGGTCAGGGCGCCTTCAAATCCTGACAGTTGGACTCTGTCGTTTTCTCTGGTCTCCTTCCCAATTGGACCATTAGTGACATTTTGAACCGCATGTTCTCTTTAAATTACTGGCTGTCCGAGTCGTGTCCAAAAAAACAATGTGGGCTTTATAGATAATTGGGAAAGTTTCTGGAGGAAACTTGGTCTTGTTAGGAGAGATGGCATCCATCCCACTTTGGATGGAGCAGCT